TGTTATTATTGAGAAGAATCGTCAAGGGAGATGGGTGTATATTATTGAGGACGACTCGTCAAGGGGAGATGGGGTGTTATTATTGGGAGGGTATGAGGCCGACTCGTCAAGGGGAGATGGGTGTTATTATTGAGGACGACTCGTCAAGGGGAGATGGGTGTTATTATTGAGGACGACTCGTCAAGGGGAGATGGGTGTTATTATTGAGGACGACTCGTCAAGGGGAGATAGGGTGTTATTATTGAGGACGACTCGTCAAGGGGAGATGGTGTTATTATTGAGGACGACTCGTCAAGGGGAGATGGGTGTTATTATTGAGGACGACTCGTCAAGGGGAGATGGGTGTTATTATTGAGGACGACTCGTCAAGGGGAGATGGGTGGTTATTATTGAGGACGACTCGTCAAGGGGAGATGGGTGTTATTATTGAGGACGACTCGTCAAGGGGGAGATGGGTGTTATTATTGAGGACGACTCGTCAAGGGGAGATGGGTGTTATTATTGAGGACGACTCGTCAAGGGGAGATGGGTGTTATTATTGAGGACGACTCGTCAAGGGGAGATGGGTGTTATTATTGAGGACGACTCGTCAAGGGGAGATGGGTGTTATTATTGAGGACGACTCGTCAAGGGGAGATGGGTGTTATTATTGAGGACGACTCGTCAAGGGGAGATGGGTGTTATTATTGAGGACGACTCGTCAAGGGGAGATGGGTGTTATTATTGAGGACGACTCGTCAAGGGGAGATGGGTGTTATTATTGAGGACGACTCGTCAAGGGGAGATGGGTGTTATTATTGAGGACGACTCGTCAAGGGGAGATGGGTGTTATTATTGAGGACGACTCGTCAAGGGGAGATGGGTGTTATTATTGAGGACGACTCGTCAAGGGGAGATGGGTGTTATTATTGAGGACGACTCGTCAAGGGGAGATGGGTGTTATTATTGAGGACGACTCGTCAAGGGGAGATGGGTGTTATTATTGAGGACGACTCGTCAAGGGGAGATGGGTGTTATTATTGAGGACGACTCGTCAAGGGGAGATGGGTGTTATTATTGAGGACGACTCGTCAAGGGGAGATGGGTGTTATTATTGAGGACGACTCGTCAAGGGGAGATGGGTGTTATTATTGAGGACGACTCGTCAAGGGGAGATGGGTGTTATTATTGAGGACGGACTCGTCAAGGGGAGATGGGTGTTATTATTGAGGACGACTCGTCAAGGGGAGATGGGTGTTATTATTGAGGACGACTCGTCAAGGGGAGATGGGTGTTATTATTGAGGACGACTCGTGGGGAGATGGAGATGGGTGTTATTATTGAGGACGACTCGTCAAGGGGAGAAGGGTGTTATTATTGAGGACGACTCGTCAAGGGGAGATGGGTGTTATTATTGAGGACGACTCGTGGGGAGATGGAGATGGGTGTGAAAGGGGACAGCAAATAACAAACAGCCCTTCATGGAAAGAATTTCATTGGAAAATAAAAACGAGATATTTTAGGACTCCTCTTATTGTTTCAAAATATAACGGAGCGTTAACACGTGTGTGTTGGACTGCCCGAAGCTGGGGCTATGGATAAGACCGCCCTCCGTCAGTGACCAGACAGGCTACTGATTAACCCACTGCCACCCGCCCTCCGTCAGTGACCAGACAGGCTACTGATTAACCCACTGCCACCCGCCCTCCATCAGTGGCCAGACAGGCTACTGATTAACCCACTGCCACCCGCCCTCCGTCAGTGACCAGACAGGCTACTGATTAACCCACTGCCACCCGCCCTCCATCAGTGACCAGACAGGCTACTGATTAACCCACTGCCACCCGCCCTCCGTCAGTGGCCAGACAGGCTACTGATTAACCCACTGCCACCCGCCCTCCGTCAGTGGCCAGACAGGCTACTGATTAACCCACTGCCACCCGCCCTCCATCAGTGGCCAGACAGGCTACTGATTAACCCACTGCCACCCGCCCTCCGTCAGTGGCCAGACAGGCTACTGATTAACCCACTGCCACCCGCCCTCCGTCAGTGGCCAGACAGGCTACTGATTAACCCACTGCCACCCGCCCTCCGTCAGTGGCCAGACAGGCTACTGATTAACCCACTGCCACCCGCCCTCCGTCAGTGACCAGACAGGCTACTGACGGAGTTCTCAATGGAAAAGAGAACAGCAAGACTCCAGATGAAGTCGGATGTGTTTGTAAATAGATGGACTCCTGTAATCGATCAGTTGTGAAAAGGTGCTGTAACGATATAAGGTTGGACTTGAACAAAACTAAGTCTAGTTTATTTTAATTTATTTGTGTGTTGCCGATTCAATATTCTCTCATTCCTCTTTGTTTGGATGCAACTTTTAAGATACCATGATGTATAATTATCTGTGTCATTTTGTGTTTGTTCTCAACAATGTAAAATGGATCTGCATATGGTTGAATAAACATCTTGGGTTTGGTGAAAGGCGCTATATCAACTGAAAGGGTTAGGGTCTGAGACCTAGGTCGGCGAAGACCCTATTAAAGAATGACCCTGGAAACACGCCCAGGGAACACCACCGGCAAAGGCACAGAAAGGGTTCGGAAATCATGACGGCTGATAGGCCGCGCCAGCCCGTCACGTGGGCGGGGCAGTAGGTAGCCCAACTAGCACATTATTGATATCGGACCGATTATTTGTTATTATTATTATTTGAACACCATGGCAACGGATCCTTCGCCATAAACTACGGTGTCGCTGTAACTCCAATGGACACGGTCCCATCGTCCCCCAATCTTCACTTTTATATCACCGGTCCATGCCTCAACAGCTCTACATGAAATCTGAGATCTCACCATATCCCGTTGCCATGTAAACGCATCCTTCGCCAACAAATACGATGTTGTTGTAATTCAATGGAAAATGGTCCAAACGGCACCAGACTTCAGACTATCATTAATGGTCCGGCCCTCAACAGCTCTATGTAAATAATGGGGTGTCTTCATATGCCGTTGCCATGGCAACGCGTCCCTCGCCAAAAAACCTGGTGTTGTAGTAATTCAATGGGAAATCGTCCAAACGGCACCAGACTTCATATGATGGCTAATGGTCTGGCCCTCAACAGCTCTACGCCAATTATGGGATGTCATCATATCCCGTTGCCATGGAAACGCATCCTTCGCTGAAAAATACGATGTTGTTGTAATTCAATGGAAAATCGTCCAAACAGCACCAGACTTCAGACTATCATTGATGGTCCGGCCCTCAACAGCTCTACGCCAATTGTGGGATGTCATCATATGCCGTTGCTATGGCGACAGATCCCTCGCCATGAAACATGGTGTTGTTGTAATTCAATGGGAAATCGTCCAAACGGCACCAGACTTCAGACTATCATTAATGGTCCGGCCCTCAACAGCTCTATGTCAATTATGGGATGTCATCATATGCCGTTGCCATGGCGACAGATCCCTCTTCATAAAACACAATGTTGTCTTAACTCAATGGAAAATGGTCCAAATGGCACCAGACTTCAAATGACAGTTAATGGTCCTTCCCTCAACACCTCAATATGACAATAGTCAGTTTTCCTCAAAAGCTGTTGCCATGGCAACACATTCCTCGCCGTTAAGCACAATATTGCTATAACTCCTGTGTAAATGGTCAAAAACTGTTCTAACCGTCAACCCCTCGAGACATATATGTGTCAGTTTTGAAATTTCGCCAAATTTCGTTGCTATGGTAACAAAATGGTCGCCGTCAAACACGGTTTTCTCATAACTCCAGTTAACATGCTCCAAACGGCCCAAAAATTCACAGGTTTGATAACGATGCAGCCCTCAACACATCTAGGCGTATTATGGGGTGTCATCAAATGCCGTTGCCATGGCGACAGATCACCCGCCATCAAACACAATGTTTGTATTACTGCTGTAACTCAAAGACATTGTCCTATCGGCCTGAAACTTCCCACGTTTGCCAACGGCCGAGTCCTCGAGACACCTAGACACACGTCGACGTGCGGACAACAGCCTGCGGAGCGTCGAAGACCCGCTCAACGCTGCTTGCAGCTTTAATTATTATTATTATTATCAAGGTTATCTTTTAGGAATATGAGCATGTCCACATTTCCAGGTAGAAGCTGGGATGTTTGGGCGTTTGCAATATCCCCTGCTGTGGAAACAACTCTCTTGCTTGGTACTGATGTTGCTGGGACAGAGAGATATGCTTTGGCCATGGGTGACAGCAGTGGGTCAAACTGTGCATTGTCTCTCCACCACTTCAAAAACAATACAGTTTTTGCCAAGAAGGTGAGGCTTATTGACAGAGATATAAATATACTGTTGGTACTTGTCAATGTCTCTAGGTATGTACATGTAGCCCTGTAAATACGATGTCCTTTTGTGTTATCTGTTGTTTTATGTTCATGTTGGAACCTACTTGCTGCCATGTTGGACAGGTCTCCCTTGAAAAAGAGATCGATTATCTCAATGGGACCACCTGGTTAAATAAAGGTTTAAAAAAAAAAAAACATTAAAAAAAATCCCGGTATATTTTGTCAGTCTCACGACGGTATTGAGACAGTTATTTACTGCGATATTCGATATATTGTTACATCCCTACTGAAAACACACTGCAAAGACACACACACACACACACACACACACACACACATACACACAAACACTGCAACAGGAAACACACACTGTAGACACACTGCACACACACACACACACACACACACACACACACACACTGCAACAGGAAACACACACTGAACACACACTGTAGACACACACACACTGAACACACACTGCAGACACACTGCACACACAAACTGAACACACACTGCAGACACACACTGGTGAGAGAAACTCCCCCTGAAGGGAACACAGGGATGGAAGCCCCTACTACCATGCACGATAGAACACACTGCAGTAAGCAGAATCAGGCCTCTTTAACAATACAGCTGTTAACGTTAGCATGGTTAGCTGTTAGCAGGGCTCCCCCTCTCTCTCTGCTCTCACCCTTGCTGTAGTTGAAGTTGATGCTGCTCCCTGGGGGAGGCTTGGGGAGGGACAGCGGGGTCTCCTCTGTGGGGAGGTCCAGCAGACTGAACTCTACGAAGAGACGCTGAAGGCTGCGGTCCAAACACACCCGAGACCCCGGAGACAAGCTCAGAGACACCACCTCCACCCGCAGGCGCTCAGAGGCCTGCACACACAAACACACACACACACACACACACACACACACACACACACACACACACACACACACACACACACACAAACACACACACACATTAGAATACTTAGCAGCAAGATCAATGGTATAACTTTCATTTTATCGTCATTGTCTAAATCAGAAAAAGACAAGACACACACACTCTGCACCGAGAGGAGACACACACACACACATACATATACATATACACACACACACACACACACACACACACACACACACACACACACACACACACTGACCTTCCTCCCCACGCTGCCCCCCCCCACGATGCAGTCATCACTGGACTCCTCCTCTGGAGCAGCATCTGCACAGAGGAACATCAGCTGATCAAGACCTCCTCGTCAGTAACGCTGCACATCATCCCTCCTTACATACATATACAGTCAACATAAATATATATAAGTATGTCCTGTGGTTCCTGTGTGCCTGGTGGGTCACTAAAGACCTGGACCAAACACCAGTTCCAGAGGAGAGTCATTTAGTTTGTGTTACTGGTTACTCATTTCATTTCAAACCTTTATTTAACCAGATTGGTCCCATTGAGATCATAGATCTCTTTTCAAAGGGAGACCTGCAAACAACAGTCTGACTGGCCCCAGGCCTACACACAGTCTCTCTAGACATTAGTACTACTCTGAAACAACAGTCTGACTGGCCCCAGGCCTACACACAGTCTCTCTAGACATTAGTACTACTCTGAAACATCAGTCTGACTGGCCCCAGGCCTACAGTCTCTCTAGACATTAGTACTACTCTGAAACATCAGTCTGACTGGCCCCAGGCCTACAGTCTCTCTAGACATTAGTACTACTCTGAAACAACAGTCTGACTGGCCCCAGGCCTACACACAGTCTCTCTAGACATTAGTACTACTCTGAAACAACAGTCTGACTGGCCCCCAGGCCTACAGTCTCTCTAGACATTAGTACTACTCTGAAACATCAGTCTGACTGGCCCCAGGCCTACAGTCTCTCTAGACATTAGTACTACTCTGAAACATCAGTCTGACTGGCCCCAGGCCTACAGTCTCTCTAGACATTAGTACTACTCTGAAACATCAGTCTGACTGGCCCCAGGCCTACAGTCTCTCTAGACATGAGTACTACTCTGAAACATCAGTCTGACTGGCCCCAGGCCTACAGTCTCTCTAGACATTAGTACTACTCTGAAACATCAGTCTGACTGGCCCCAAGCCTACAGTCTCTCTAGACATTAGTACTACTCTGAAACATCAGTCTGACTGGCCCCAGGCCTACAGTCTCTCTAGACATTAGTACTACTCTGAAACAACAGTCTGACTGGCCCCAGGCCTACAGTCTCTCTAGACATTAGTACTACTCTGAAACAACAGTCTGACTGGCCCCAGGCCTACAGTCTCTCTAGACATTAGTACTACTCTGAAACATCAGTCTGACTGGCCCCAGGCCTACAGTCTCTCTAGACATTAGTACTACTCTGAAACATCAGTCTGACTGGCCCCAGGCCTACAGTCTCTCTAGACATTAGTACTACTCTGAAACATCAGTCTGACTGGCCCCAGGCCTACAGTCTCTCTAGACATTAGTACTACTCTGAAACATCAGTCTGACTGGCCCCAGGCCTACAGTCTCTCTAGACATTAGTACTACTCTGAAACATCAGTCTGACTGGCCCCAAGCCTACAGTCTCTCTAGACATTAGTACTACTCTGAAACATCAGTCTGACTGGCCCCAGGCCTACAGTCTCTCTAGACATTAGTACTACTCTGAACAACAGTCTGACTGGCCCCAGGCCTACAGTCTCTCTAGACATTAGTACTACTCTGAAACATCAGTCTGACTGGCCCCAGGCCTACAGTCTCTCTAGACATTAGTACTACTCTGAAACATCAGTCTGACTGGCCCCAGGCCTACAGTCTCTCTAGACATGAGTACTACTCTGAAACATCAGTCTGACTGGCCCCAGGCCTACAGTCTCTCTAGACATTAGTACTACTCTGAAACATCAGTCTGACTGGCCCCAGGCCTACAGTCTCTCTAGACATTAGTACTACTCTGAAACATCAGTCTGACTGGCCCCAGGCCTACAGTCTCTCTAGACATGAGTACTACTCTGAAACATCAGTCTGACTGGCCCCAGGCCTACAGTCTCTCTAGACATTAGTACTACTCTGAAACATCAGTCTGACTGGCCCCAGGCCTACAGTCTCTCTAGACATTAGTACTACTCTGAAACATCAGTCTGACTGGCCCCAGGCCTACAGTCTCTCTAGACATTAGTACTACTCTGAAACATCAGTCTGACTGGCCCCAGGCCTACAGTCTCTCTAGACATTAGTACTACTCTGAAACATCAGTCTGACTGGCCCCAGGCCTACAGTCTCTCTAGACATTAGTACTACTCTGAAACATCAGTCTGACTGGCCCCAGGCCTACAGTCTCTCTAGACATTAGTACTACTCTGAAACATCAGTCTGACTGGCCCCAGGCCTACAGTCTCTCTAGACATTAGTACTACTCTGAAACATCAGTCTGACTGGCCCCAGGCCTACAGTCTCTCTAGACATTAGTACTACTCTGAAACATCAGTCTGACTGGCCCCCAGGCCTACAGTCTCTCTAGACATTAGTACTACTCTGAAACAACAGTCTGACTGGCCCCAGGCCTACAGTCTCTCTAGACATTAGTACTACTCTGAAACATCAGTCTGACTGGCCCCAGGCCTACAGTCTCTCTAGACATTAGTACTACTCTGAAACAACAGTCTGACTGGCCCCAGGCCTACAGTCTCTCTAGACATTAGTACTACTCTGAAACATCAGTCTGACTGGCCCCAGGCCTACAGTCTCTCTAGACATTAGTACTACTCTGAAACAACAGTCTGACTGGCCCCAGGCCCACAGTCTCTCTAGACATGAGTACTACTCTGAAACATCAGTCTGAAGGTGAAGCACTATCTAATGTCCCGTCATCACTTCCTCACCCTGCAGGGTCTCCTCCGACATCTCAGAGTCAGAGGAGAGAGACTGGGAGCTGACTGGGACCAGCTGACCCTCCGACACATGAGATTCCTCTTCCTCCTCCTCTTCTTCTGCAGGTGGAGTCGCTGCTGACAAAACCTGCAGACACAGAACACATGGAGTTTCACAGAGACTGGTTTAAAACACATCAGCTATTGAGGAGACTCACCTGTTCTGTGTCACAGGGATCTATGTCTCACCTGTTCTGTGTCACAGGGATCTATGTCTCACCTGTTCTGTATCACAGGGATCTATGTCTCACCTGTTCTGTATCACAGGGATCTATGTCTCACCTGTTCTGTATCACAGGGATCTATGTCTCACCTGTTCTGTGTCACAGGGATCTATGTCTCACCTGTTCTGTATCACAGGGATCTATGTCTCACCTGTTCTGTATCACAGGGATCTATGTCTCACCTGTTCTGTATCACAGGGATCTATGTCTCACCTGTTCTGTGTCACAGGGATCTATGTCTCACCTGTTCTGTGTCACAGGGATCTATGTCTCACCCGTTCTGTATCACAGGGATCTATGTCTCACCTGTTCTGTGTCACAGGGATCTATGTCTCACCTGATCTGTATCACAGGGATCTATGTCTCACCTGTTCTGTATCACAGGGATCTATGTCTCACCTGTTCTGTATCACAGGGATCTATGTATCACCTGTTCTGTATCACAGGGATCTATGTCTCACCTGTTCTGTATCACAGGGATCTATGTCTCACCTGTTCTGTGTCACAGGGATCTATGTCTCACCTGTTCTGTATCACAGGGATCTATGTATCACCTGTTCTGTATCACAGGGATCTATGTCTCACCTGTTCTGTATCACAGGGATCTATGTATCACCTGTTCTGTATCACAGGGATCTATGTCTCACCTGTTCTGTGTCACAGGGATCTATGTCTCACCTGTTCTGTATCACAGGGATCTATGTCTCACCTGTTCTGTATCACAGGGATCTATGTCTCACCTGTTCTGTGTCACAGGGATCTATGTCTCACCTGTTCTGTGTCACAGGGATCTATGTCTCACCTGTTCTGTGTCACAGGGATCTATGTCTCACCTGTTCTGTATCACAGGGATCTATGTCTCACCTGTTCTGTATCACAGGGATCTATGTCTCACCTGTTCTGTATCACAGGGATCTATGTCTCACCTGTTCTGTGTCACAGGGATCTATGTCTCACCTGTTCTGTGTCACAGGGATCTATGTCTCACCTGTTCTGTATCACAGGGATCTATGTCTCACCTGTTCTGTATCACAGGGATCTATGTCTCACCTGTTCTGTATCACAGGGATCTATGTCTCACCTGTTCTGTGTCACAGGGATCTATGTCTCACCTGTTCTGTATCACAGGGATCTATGTCTCACCTGTTCTGTATCACAGGGATCTATGTCTCACCTGTTCTGTATCACAGGGATCTATGTCTCACCTGTTCTGTATCACAGGGATCTATGTCTCACCTGTTCTGTATCACAGGGATCTATGTCTCACCTGTTCTGTATCACAGGGATCTATGAAGGAGACCTTTTTGGCCGGTGGTCCGTCCTTTAGTTGTGTCCTCAGCCTGAGTTTGGGCAGCGGGGCCTGATGGAGGAATCAGAAGTACTTTATTAGTCCAACAGCGAGGACAGGTTACAGCACAGGGGGACAGCAGGTATACAGCACAGGGGGACAGCAGGTATACAGCACAGGGGGACAGCAGGTATACGGCACAGGGCGACAGCAGGTATACGGCACAGGGGGACAGCAGGTATACGGCACAGGGCGACAGCAGGTATACGGCACAGGGCGACAGCAGGTATACGGCACAGGGGGACAGCAGGTATACAGCACAGGGGGACAGCAGGTATACAGCACAGGGGGACAGCAGGTATACAGCACAGGGGGACAGCAGGTATACAGCACAGGGCGACAGCAGGTATACAGCACAGGGGGACAGCAGGTATACAGCACAGGGCGACAGCAGGTATACGGCACAGGGGGACAGCAGGTATACGGCACAGGGCGACAGCAGGTATACGGCACAGGGGGACAGCAGGTATACGGCACAGGGCGACAGCAGGTATACGGCACAGGGCGACAGCAGGTATACGGCACAGGGGGACAGCAGGTATACGGCACAGGGGGACAGCAGGTATACGGCACAGGGGGACAGCAGGTATACAGCACAGGGGGACAGCAGGTATACAGCACAGGGGGACAGCAGGTATACAGCACAGGGGGACAGCAGGTATACAGCACAGGGCGACAGCAGGTATACAGCACAGGGGGACAGCAGGTATACAGCACAGGGGGACAGCAGGTATACAGCACAGGGCGACAGCAGGTATACAGCACAGGGGGACAGCAGGTATACAGCACAGGGGGACAGCAGGTATACAGCACAGGGGGACAGCAGGTATACAGCACAGGGCGACAGCAGGTATACAGCACAGGGGGACAGCAGGTATACAGCACAGGGGGACAGCAGGTATACAACACAGGGGGACAGCAGGTATACAGCACAGGGGGACAGCAGGTATACAGCACAGGGCGACAGCAGGTATACGGCACAGGGGGACAGCAGGTATACGGCACAGGGCGACAGCAGGTATACGGCACAGGGGGACAGCAGGTATACAGCACAGGGGGACAGCAGGTATACAGCACAGGGGGACAGCAGGTATACAGCACAGGGGGACAGCAGGTATACGGCACAGGGCGACAGCAGGTATACGGCACAGGGCGACAGCAGGTATACGGCACAGGGCGACAGCAGGTATACGGCACAGGGGGGACAGCAGGTATACAGCACAGGGGGACAGCAGGTATACAGCACAGGGCGACAGCAGGTATACAGCACAGGGCGACAGCAGGTATACAGCACAGGGGGACAGCAGGTATACAGCACAGGGGGACAGCAGGTATACAGCACAGGGCGACAGCAGGTATACAGCACAGGGGGACAGCAGGTATACAGCACAGGGGGACAGCAGGTATACGGCACAGGGCGACAGCAGGTATACGGCACAGGGCGACAGCAGGTATACGGCACAGGGCGACAGCAGGTATACGGCACAGGGGGACAGCAGGTATACAGCACAGGGGGACAGCAGGTATACAGCACAGGGCGACAGCAGGTATACAGCACAGGGGGACAGCAGGTATACAGCACAGGGCGACAGCAGGTATACAGCACAGGGGGACAGCAGGTATACAGCACAGGGGGACAGCAGGTATACAGCACAGGGGGACAGCAGGTATACAGCACAGGGGGACAGCAGGTATACAGCACAGGGGGACAGCAGGTATACAGCACAGGGCGACAGCAGGTATACAGCACAGGGCGACAGCAGGTATACAGCACAGGGGGACAGCAGGTATACAGCACAGGGGACAGCAGTTCTAAAAGTCTATATGGACCAAAGTCAAAACATGTCTTGGCTGATTGAGACTACCATGAGTTGGACCATTGGATACAGAGAGACCTAGATGATCATTCTTACCTCAAATCAATAAGCAATCTGTCCAATACAGACGATCCAGGGTGGCCTAAATCTTTCTCATTAGAACAGCCCACGGAGGGGACAGATGTGGACACTTTCTGGTTAAAACTTACATGTTTGATCCTGAAAAAGTCAGAAATGGATTCAGCATCCTCAATAACCATAAAACATCCTTCCAAAATTGGCCAAGCCATTTGTAACTATTGTCCACATATGCTAATGAGCTGATGCTAAATGTGTCCAAATATCTGCAGGTCAGCATCCAGCAGTTTCTATGAGCTGGAAACCCTGCTCTATATTTCTATCAGAACACTTTGGGGTCTCAACGTGTCCAGGTTCACAGCAGGACTCTATGAGCTGCAGACAGACAATAATATAAACGAGAGACTTGATCTCTCTGCTGACCTTAGACGCATAGACCTTTGGGAGGGAGATGGGGGAGGGGGGAGGAAGTTTCTCCTCCTCCTGCCGAGCCTTTTCCACGTCTCCCAACTTCCTCCTCTTCCTCTGGAGGTCTGCTCTCTGGAGGAGGTCTGCTCTCTGGAGGAGGTCTGCTCTCTGGAGGTCTGCTCTCTGGAGGAGGTCTGATCTCTGGAGGAGGTCTGCTCTCTGGAGGGTCTGCTCTCTGGTGGAGGTCTGCTCTCTGGAGGTCTGCTCTCTGGAGGTCTGCTCTCTGGAGGAGGGTCTGATCTCTGGAGGAGGTCTGCTCTCTGGAGGTCTGCTCTCTGGAGGTCTGCTCTCTGGAGGTCTGCTCTCTGGAGGTCTGCTCTCTGGAGGAGGTCTGATCTCTGGAGGAGGTCTGATCTCTGGAGGAGGTCTGATCTCTGGAGGAGGTCTGCTCTCTGGAGGTCTGGTCGATGGAGGTCTGCTCTCTGGAGGAGGTCTGATCTCTGGAGAAGGTCTGATCTCTGGAGGTCTGCTCTCTGGAGGAG